TTCGGGCCACGCAAGTACGCCAATTTTGGAATGCCCGACCGGGCAAGAGAAAAATTCCGTGTTTCAATTTCGTGAAGCCCAAACGCAGTTCGTCCAATGCGTTATATGTAATTTACCATTTTCCCAATTATACGGACCTGAAATTTATTAATATACGAGCAATCAGGAAGGACTTACCCCACCTCATAGACTATATGTAAAAATATTGAATGTAGTAGTTATTTCGTTTAAATTTTTTTAAAAAAAATAATATATTTCTAGCATTTTAATGACAATAACGAACGAAATTAAAGGATAAAAAAATTTTCCATTTTTTGCACGTTTTTCTCAAACATGTTCCACAGGCAAGGGGTTAAGCGAAAACAGAACGTTTTGTATATAAGGAAAACAAAAAAAATTCGTTCTTCCTTTGTGCACAGATATTTTAAAAACTATCAGAATTACAGAAATTCTGCATTTGCACACATTAAACATTTCGCATGCTGTCATTTCATGGCTGTTCATGACGTGGTATAAAAGGGTTACCACATTTTCTGCTGTGCCTCACCATTAACAGAAAAGTACCGAATATATTTAGTAGATGAATTTTAGCTTTTATTTAATTTGCTCTTTTAAAATCCAAATATGTTGTTGCGTGCATGCGGGCTGGTAATGGATTGAATGCACAAGGAACCGATAAACGGCTTGATAAAATGTATTTCACCATAAGAAAGAATTGACAGTTCTGGAACTTTCCACAAAAGTACTCATACACTCATCTCAGTATCACAGAGTTACACTTCAAACTCCTAGGGACGTTAAACAGAACGCAATGCAAAGCGCATATAAACGACGAAGCTCGCACGAAGATATTTCAATACTCCGAGGCGGAATCTGAACTGGAAAACTGAGAGCAAGTGCTCTCTTCGGTCTTAAATTTTATCCCGACCGCCAAGAAATCTCTAGTACCTTCCATTTCTCGAAATTACTAGAAAGCATATATGGTTAAAGTTACATATAAGGATCGGAAACTGTTAGTTACACATAGAGATCAATTACAGTTATTCATTTACAGTTTTTATAGTTATATGTGACTGGACCAAAATCCACCAAATGGTCGCAATTTTTGGCAATTTTTGGCGATTTCTCGCCAAATTTGGGGACAAAAATTAGCCGCCAGAACCATTTCCAGCTTGGCGATATCTCGCCAATTTAGCGAGATAGCCATTTACTCAATGATTACTTATAGACATGCCCCTGTAATCTTATTTTTTTCGCCAAAGTTTCGAGACTTTTCATGTTATATTATACAATATAAAATTTATAACGATTTTGTTCTGTTCATCGTACTAAAATTAACGAGTATGGCTTAGAATATAGGAATATTGGTCTTAAATCTTTATTTCTACTTTCGGAATTTTTCAAAATAAAGTATACAATTTTATGAAAATAGTTTTAACACTGTGGATGGAAATGTAAGCGTAAAACCTAACATTTGTCCCGGCAGAGAAAAAAATTACATACAGTAAAAAGCTCCATTATGCTTTTTAAGTTAAATCCAATAATTTTAGGTGCAGAATTCGTAGTGTTATTCGAAGAATAGTTGATTTATTTACTTATTAGATAATTTTTCTATGAGTATTCTAATTAATATTTGAAATTTATCAGACAAACTTAAGGTGAAACAATAAAAATGTACGTTGTTCGTTTTGATTCTGTGTAGGCCTCCAATGCTAGGTAAAAGCGTTATTTCTGCAGCCACGAAACAATTATTGACTCAAATTTCTGAGATTTTTGCACTTGTAAGTAGCTTTTTAAAGCATAAAGAATATTTAGAAAATTGTACCCCCCAGCAAGAACCTAGGTAAGAATTAGATTTCGTATTTACAAAATTCTTCCGCTGACAGCGGTGAACTGTTGTCAAACAACTCCGTACATTATTTTCAGAAGCTTTGTAACAATTATTTCTAGGTTGAATATTTAAGAAAATAAAGCCCTCTAAGTACCTTTCTTTCAATTCTCTATTTATTTATTTCCGAATAATTTCTTTTTTGTTACTTAGCCGCAATGAACTATAGAAAAGCATTTTGCGATATCTGTATAGACGGACCACGCCCAGCCGTCCTGTTTGATAAACGTAATTGTTCAGATCATAAATGAGTATTTTATACTCATGGTCACGATTGCCTTGGTTTATGAAAGGGAAAAAAAATTTGTTTTCTTGATCCAGTTGTGTAAATTGCTGTTTCCTAATACGAATATGATGCGTAAATTTGAATACTATCTCCTTTCTTATTTAATTAGTTTCAAAATTCCCTACCTGCGATTAGCAGAAACATAATTAGCAGAAACTAATTTAATAATTTTTATATTTTAAAGTATTTATAAACATTATACGAATAAATATATTTCTTCATAATATAAAACCTACAATAGTTAAAAACGCAGTAAGTTAACTAAGGGAACTGACCTCTTCTCCGTTCGTCAAGCGGCCCTGTGACATTTCGGTTCCAACATAACAGAGAAGAAAAAATAAATTACATGCACACACTGAATCGGGAGAGCCGCGCTGATAATCTAATAATCTATTGAAATTTGTATGTTCCGTAATTTTTCTTGAAATATTTTTCTATTTGTTTAAAATTCCTTCAAATTAGTTCAGTGTTAAAAATCGGTTGAAGAGCTGGTAATAATTTTCCTTGATGTCCGAAATTGGTCGATTAAACCTCTCTGACTGAGAGGGTGTCTGCAAAACAAAAACGCTATTATTATTAATATTCATATTATGACTATTAATAAGACCTGTTTGTTTTTGTCCTTTACAGTGTTATAAGAGAGCTTCTGCCTCTGCTTAGAAAAATGAATTATGTGTGTTTAATTCATGTTTTGTAAACTGCTCCCTCTATTTGGAAAATTGAGTTCAATTTATATTTTTTGCGATCAGTAGCACCGCGTAATAATATGTTAATCACGGTAAAGGCTACAGTCTGGTACACTAGACCCGTCTCTATGCATATCGAGTTCTCCAGCTTGAGGAATATTTGTTTGATTAATCTATTGAAGTCCTTTCGGCTGGGTGTATCTTTAATATAAAGTTTTTCAAAGGCACAGCTGATATTCGAATATTTGTCTGTTCACATTACATTGTTACGAAAAGCCCATCTGCGGTAAGACAGCTTCCCCGCAAAACGGATTTAGGGTTGCCAGAAAGTGGGACAGAAAACCAGGATTGCCAGATTTGGTGAGAAATCGCCCATTTGGCGATAAAATATGAGATATGCAAAGATATGAAAGAATTCGTTCCAGAATGTTCTTGCTGAACATTCTAGAACGAATTCTTACCGGTTTTCCCGAGAATGTTAACGAAGGCAGGTCAAAAGCTATATATACCCTGCCTGTACGCAGATTGAGAGTATCTTGAGTTTAGTAATAGCCTCTTGAGTTCTGAGAGCGATCGACCAAGTCGGGGAGGGGGGGAGGGCTATACTTTAGTGCTTTGCCGTGAAGCTATCTTCATCGCTGTAGCCTGATAATCTGAAAGCTTTGCTGCTGATTGTATCAGTGTATTTACCATAGTTTTTCGACGACTGTAACGCGTCTTTGGAAATGTCCTATATAATCCTTACAAATAAATTGAGCTTTGATTCTTCATCAAGTGTTGTCATTAATCTGTCTAAATCCAGGCACCCGTAGAGCAAAACAATATTCTTCCGAAAGTTTCTCATAATAAAAAGGTATTGTTTAGAAAAAGGAGCAGACCAACCATTATGCTTGCGATTTCGATGAAGACAGTCTTAAAACATCTAGTAAGATTATGGCTTCTCTGATCTTTTGTCCCTAGCCACGGATCTGACGACCGATTTGCAGAACACCTATGAATATCCGTTAGTTTTCTCTTGTGTTGGTCCTGCAACATACACAGTTCACTGGTGAATATGTATTAATAATTTACTAATGATTGGTTGAATAAAGCCGCCAATTCTAGTAATTCGTTCCTTACCGATTCTTGGTAGATGAACAAGCTGGTTGCGTGCGTTTTTATAACAAAGCCGAATGTTTAAAAAAAAAAATACAAAACACTGGTAGTGCGGAGCTCAAATTATCGAGAGTTCCAATTATCTGGATAGTACATATCACGAAATTCACTTAAGTCGTTTCTTTCTCACCAAATAAAATTAAACTTACTATTATATAGTCGTTTAAATTTTTGTTGATTTAAATAGAATACAAGATAATACATACGTAATTTCGAGAATCTAAATACAATGCTATTTTTATTTTACGATATCAATAAAAAAATCTGACTTTAATTTTTATTAAATAAAGAAGTTAAGAAATGATTTCCTTTTCCATTTTTCGTATTTACTAAAGCAAGTTACATATTTAGTTTTAAAGACTACATGAATAAAAATTCATTGTTTTATATAATCAGTTGATATAAAAATGAGTTATGTGTTTAGATAAGCAAAACTTCGATGCTTAATTTTGTTGAATAAAATGTACTTTGTTGGAATACATGGTTTTTAAGCTTGTAAAATCTTTGGAAATACAGTACAATAAACAAAACAATACTAACTTGGCCGATTACGATATATGTATTCCAGTACAGTAAATATGCATTTGGTCTTCAGAAAGAGAAAAAACCAGTTATTTGGGGTCTGAATACACGGTAAGTTAAGATCTGAATTAATTTAAGCATTTAAAATTTTGCTGAATTTCCTTTATACTTATTTTATTCAAGAATCACGCTGCGGTTTCAAAATATTCAATCAGTGCTTGATGTGCAAAAGTTGCTTACTCATAAAATTTAATTTTACGAGTTTCTATTTGCAATTTCTTACAGTGTGTAAAAAAATGAAACTGAAATAGATCTTCAGAATCCTAATTATATTCAATACTATACTAATTATATTCAATTAAGAATATTCATCTCTCAATATACATCATAAGCGTATAATTTCCTTTCCTTGCGCATAAATTTGTGCATTTACCTTGCTATATTTTTATATAATATTTTGCAGGAACTTTCTGAATTTTGTCACAGAAGAATTGAAAGATCCTTTCAGGTAAATGAATGAAAGTGATATTTTAGCAAAAAATTCTGTAAATGCAGTTACTAATTGTTTCATATTTTTATTTCTGAATTTAAAAAAATAGTTCCTAACTGTTGGAACTCATGACTGTTCTTTTCGATTTCAGGAATCTACCCCGAGCCATTTACATTTCTTTGCCAATGGTCACAATTATTTATGTTCTTGCCAATGTTGCATATTTTGCCGTGCTTAGCCCAGATGAGATATTAGCTTCCAATGCAGTCGCTGTGGTTAGTTTGTCGTGAAATTTCCAAATTTTGTTGATATTCAGCTTCATGCCATTCAAATTATTGACACATTACGAATGCTGATTCCTTTCCTTTGTTTTTTCGTTTCAGACGTTTGGTGAGCGTGTTCTTGGAGTGATGTCTTGGGTGATGCCATTTTCTGTTGCCTTATCCACATTCGGTGGTTTGAATGGAAATATTTTCGCTTCTGCGAGGTAAGGCAAAAGCAAAATTATGTAACGCTTATGATATTTTCATGAAAAAGAAGCACGCCCAATTTTACAACACTTCTGATAATGTACATATTTTAATGTCTGGCAAATTAGTCTCCTCATTTTTATGAAAAGCGTTGAACATATAATGTACACTTTTATTATACAAGCAGAAAAAGCACAATGTGTCATTTGTGGCCATGAATGCAGAACTATCTAATGTGTTTGAATGATAACGTACAATCGTAAATTACGGGCTGCGAAAGAATTGTATCATTTTTTTTTTTTTTTAAATAATATGCCACCCAATGTCTTCGTACTGTGTACTCTTGAAGCCTAATCCCCCAAGTTCCTTCTAAATAAGCTCATCATTTCCTTAAGTGTTTGCTGTAGCATTCGAGCAACTGGAATTAACACATATAACAAACTAACATAAATCACCATTACTACAATCAATATTTGAACTGTATACAAAATTACTGTATGAAGAATTATAAATATTATAATACAGGATGATATTCAGTTATATAACAGTGCAATATTCCTCATTCATAATACAATAGTTGACTAGAATATTACTAATGGTATGAAGATATACATTACTAAACGAAATTTATATTCAATTTTCTAATGGTAAAATACATAGTAATGTAACCCGCTGTTTGAATGTACCAGTTCAACGTTTCACATTATACACACAAAAATGTACATCATTACCAGAAAAATACTTTTACTATTCTACCTATTATCTTATACCTATTATCTACCTTAAGACAAATTACCTTTACTTAAGACCATGTTTCCAACATTTATATTATTAAAGCTTTGCCTGATCGATTTTGTAAATGTCTTAAATAACTAATTCCATTTTTTTTTTCAGATAATTTTTACCCAACTTGGGATTTGCTGCATGATTTTAACCTATTAATGTTAACTCATGAGCCAAATTCCACGGGTTTTGACTTAATTGCACTGCCAATAAAAAATTCCCTGATGTTAGTATCTCTAAATTATCGATGCCCGAAGACAAGGGTGTTAGTTACAGGGAATTTGAAATTCCTTCAGCTTGAGTCATTAATTTTTTAAACCAAAATCTTTTTTTTTTTTCTCTAATTGCAAGTGCTCATTAAAATTTCGTGTCAAAAAATTTGACATACTGCTCCAGCCAGTAAGCATTTAACTGTGAGTTTTTTTTTTTTTTTTTTTTTTTTGTGTGTGTGTGTGTGTGTGTGTGTGTGTGTGTGTCTCCTTACTTGTCTAACCGAGCAGTCCTTCCAGAAGGTGGTCAAGATTGGAGTTCTTGCAAAGTCATAAAGGTCTCGCAGTCAGATACACTACACTTGTTTTTATTTTGTTAAAGGTCGAGCTTGGAGTTTTTCAAGGGTTGGACGTTCAACGTCAAGCTTGGAGTTCTTGTAAAGTCACCAAGGTCTTGCAGTCAGACATATTTGTTTTATTTTTATTTTGTTCTGATGAAGTACATTCCTTTGATTTCACGATATTTGACCTGCTAAAATTGTCTTCCGGTGACGTTTCTGACAAAAACAGGAATATTTCGGTAGACTATTTGACACTGAGTGCAAATGTAAAACAGTTAAAATATAATCTAGAAGTTAAACAATAAAAATCAGTGTTATATTTTCAAATTTTCACAGGACTAGTTTCGATGATTTTAGCGAACCATCGAAACTAGTCCTGTGAAAATTTGAAAATATAACGCTAATTTTTGTTGTTTGACTTCTAAATTAGTACTTGTTCGGCGTGTAATGGTATCATAATTCAGTTAAAATATAATTAGATTATAGATTACACAGACTTAGATTTCACAACTTCTAGTCTTTCGTGTATACATCATTTTAAATAAGATAGGCCTTTTTGCTCGGTGTGATTCCCATGGCATAAAATACACTTCATTGTTTTAACATGCGACAAAAATACTTAAGCTACGTTTTGAGCTATTTATGACTAATATGAGAATTCTCAGTAAGGTTTTTTTGTTGTAATTGATGTTTGTTTTGAAATTAAGTATGTTTTAACTCTTCTTAACTCACAAAGAAACATTATCTGTCGCATTTATTAAAGAAGTGTTTAGTGAACATGTCCTCGAAATTTCTTGTTTCTATGTTGCTTCATTCTCAAATTAGATACAAAAAAAACCTGCTGTTCCTTAACTTTTGGAAGACACTGTAATTCGCACGCCGATTATATTTATGACGGACCAGATAATATATGCTCACACTACTAAAACAAAATGGACTGCATAAACTACATTTATTAATAAACAAAATCCTCATGAAACCTTTCAAGGCTTCGGTATTTTTACATAACTCAAAACGCACGCAAAATAACAAAGGTCTCTCATACACCAAAAGAATGTCTCTGTGGCTATGTAACATTATCACGTGACTGTTCCCATCGCATTGCAGAGGGAGCTTCAACAGTATTACTTCAATTTCCGCTGAGATTACTTGAAGGAATTCACTAGATAAGAATTTCGTTTAAAAACTTAGACATCTCCGCAGGAAGAAACTCCAAGCTGTGAAATCAAATGAAATGCCATTCAAGATATACAATACGCAGTACCGTAAATAATTTCCTTAGAAACCGTTCAGTTAATTGTTGCTGTGTGCCATCATCGTACAGTATATGAACGTAATAGTTCTGAATTCACGCACATTGTGCTCTTTCTGTTTGTGCAATAAAAGTGTTACATTTATACTGTACTTTTTATTTCCGTATCTTATTTATACTGTACTTTTTAATTCCGTATCTTATTTATACTGTACTTTTTAGTTCCGTATCTTATTTATACTGTACTTTTTAATTCCGTATCTTATTTATACTGTACTTTATTTCCGTATCTATTTATATTTACTTTTATTTCCGTATCTTATTTATACTGTACTTTTTATTTCCGTATTTTATCTACGGTACTTTTATTCCGTATCTATTATTGTACTTTTTATTTTCCGTATTATTTTTTTTATATTTATACTGTACTTTTATTTCCGTATCTTATTTATACTGTACTTTTTATTTCCGTATCTTATTTATACTGTACTTTTTATTTCCGTATCTTATTTATACTGTACTTTTTATTTCCGTATCGTATTTATACTATACTTTTTATTTCCGTATCTTGCTGAAAAGGCATTATTCAAAATCCTGTCAGAAACAAACTAAAATGAAATGAGTTCAAAAGAAATTTCTGATAATCTTTCATGAGCCATTTGTTAACTGAGCTTTATTTCGTGAGCCAGCTGGAATATAGCCGGTCGGTACAATCACTGTATTACTCCAATTTCCTGTTTAAACTCGGCTAATGGGTCGTTAAATGAGAGTTTTCCTTAAGTCTTTGAGGGCCCACCAGCGGCCGAGCGGTAAAGTCGCTGAACACTGGTAGTTCGGTCCGAGGTTCGAATCCCGCGAACGGGCTGGCTGCATGAGCGTTTTCGTGGTTTTCCACATGTGTAACGTGTATACGAGCCAGTTTCCCTTAGAAAGTCCTCCACGAAAGGCATTCCTCCCCTTAGGCAGATAGCCCTCGTGTGCTTTGCCATAATTAAATACACCAACACACCAACCTTAACTCTTTGAAAGCCAAAGCCTTTGCTATTAAAATACCGAACCATCCGAAATGGTTTTCAAGAGTCACAGCTATTTCTTCCCTCCCCATCCATTAACTCACAAAGAAGAGTGAAGATTTCAAATGAAATTCTTTATACTTCTAACAAATAAAGATAAGAAACCACAAATAAATCCTTTTAGGACAAGCTATCTGCAGTAAACTGATACAATGTATTTGGAGAAACTGCACCTGCTACTGCATACCTTAATGAAGGGAAAACAACATCGGAATTTGGGCGGTTGTGGTCGTTAGAATGAAAGGCCGTCTGGGCCGATATGGTCTTCAAAGAGTTCCTTAAATGTAAATAAAGCTGGCTCAAAATCACATATATAATGCGAATATGAGCCAGTTTTGCTGAAGTTCCTTCATGAAGCCATCCTTGCTCTTGGGCAAATAGCCACACCATGCTTTTCTATAAGCCAATTCAGTGCAATCCAGGAGAAAATTTCTTAAATACTTCATATGTTGTCTCCTGACTATTGATTAAGTAAGACGCCAGTTTTTCAGTTCGAGATGTTTAATTTTAATCTGCTAAAGAGCTGTCACTTACCTATTTTGAGAAACTAAACCTGTTTCAAACTATTTCCTACCGAATTGGCTATTGAAAGAAAGACGAGAATTTTCCTCTCCCACTCACGAAAAGTTTGATTGTTCATATTTCAACCGATCAGCTGTCTTGAATGTAAATCCATCTCTGGTTATTTTACCTTGTATGTTTTCTTTTACGTGCTAAACCTACGGATTTGCAGTGGTTGGCATTTTTTTTTACCATGGGACAAAACACAAATGTTGCAGAGAAAAATTGTTCTTTCTAAATATTTTCATGCGTGATATCATATTTATTCACGTCATGTCTCGGAATCGAATATATTTATTGTGTTTATACCTGAGACGATCCAAGGCACATATGCAGCTTACATGCGTTATGAAAAATAAGTAAATAAAAAGTAAAATAAAATTTCGTAATTGGTTAAAATTAAGAAATTAAACACAGCGTCTTCAGAATAATTTCTGCAAGTTTGTGTTAGTTATTTAAGTTGTCACTTAAGTTTGTTCAAAGTGGCATCGGTGCAAAGATTCAGTTTTGCAAGCAAGCGTAAACAAACAAGATCAGTTTCATGTCTTAAAATTCATTATTTTAGGCCCACCAGCGGCCGAGCGGTAATGTCGCTGAACACTGGTAGTTCGGTCCGAGGTTCGAATCCCGCGAACGGGCTGGCTGCATGGGTGTTTTCGTGGTTTTCCCCATGTGTAACGTGTATACGAGCCAGTTTCCCTTAGAAAGGCCTCCACGAAAGACTTCCCTCCCCTTAGGCAGATAGCCCTAGTGTGCTTTGCCATAATTAAATACACAACACCACACCATTATTTTAGTCTGTTATATAAATAGCTCTATTTGAATTTCATGTTTAAATGAAAACTTTTTGTGATGGTATTTCTATTTTTAATGAGTGCAGAATTTTCGCAGTCTACGACTAGACTTTTGGATTTACCTCCGTCGCAATATTAATTTGATTCTGTTTTTTATTCAAAACGGGCAAAGTTGAAATGAAATCAAACTTTGGTAAAGGAACTTGTAATATTAGGAAACTGGCCTTTATTTGTCCTTTCAAAGAAAGTGCATTTATTAATAAACAAAAATTTTGAAGAAAGTGCATTTATTAATAAACAAAAATTTCGAAGAAAGTGTATTTATTAATAAAGTGCAGTGAATTATAATCAAATAGATGATACTCGTAACAATGGTTATGAATTACATAATTAAAAGAAACTGGTGCCTCTAACAGTTATTTTATACCGATATGTAATATCTACTGTAATATTTGATGTTTTTCATGAATTATAACAATGGCGTAGATGACTGTAAAAATTGTCAGTTACTGTACGAATAAATTACACAAATTAAATATATTATACATTAAATCATTTCGGGGTATTACAAGGTAAAATCGGGAAACATTTATCATTTGTAGCCTGGTGCGCAATATATAGCGCCAAAATGGTTTTTAGGAACAACATTAATAACGTGTTCAAAAAAATTAACAATTATTTATTGTAAATTATGCGGAGTACGTATTAAAAAGGAAATTAAAAAATGAAATTACCATAATAACGGTTTCTAGCGCCTTGTATCATGTAGCCTGTAATACATAATAAAACATAGCTCGCTGCCTGAAAATCACTATTTTTAATGTATTTATTCAGTTAAGAATAATTAATATATCCATTTTTAGACTTCATAAATTCTAAATTCCTAAGGCACAATTTATTTTTAGGTTATTTTTTGTTGGAGCTCGTGAAGGTCACCTTCCTAATTTCTTGTCAATGATCAATCTAAATTACCTCACGCCAGCGCCAAGTCTGGTATTTTTGGTACGTATTGAAGTTCTTCATTTTTCATTATGTTTTGATGTTAGACATGTCTGTATTGGAGTATTTCTATTATTCGCGTCACATAATTTCAGCACCGTTCATAAACGCTTCATCGCGACCATGGTCCCATTCCGGAATTCTTCTGGAAAATGGGATTTGTTTCCTTTAATCTCTGTGTTTGTGATGAGGCTTGATCCCCCAGAACGTTACATAACAGCGTATCCCCTCACATAAACGTGGTACGTTTTAAGCGATTCATCATCATTTAAGCGATTTTTCATCAAGCAGTCATCCGTCCTTAATTAAAAAATACAATGTAAAAACTAGACACTACTGTGAAACTTGTTTCATGCTGGTTAGTGCTTTCCTGTGTAATGAAAAAGGCATACAATGAATAGTATATGGCACTGTATATAAATTGCTGCACACAATGACTGTAAAGAAACACAGTGAGTGCAGTATTGATGACACAGTAATAATGACAGTAGTATTGACTGGAATCAGCACTGGAGAACTATAATTAATACTGGCTGCCACAGTGAAACATAGTAACTGTAGTAGCAGTACTCGTACGCAGTGGCTGTAATACCAACAGCAGTACTGACTGTTATGAAGGCACACAATAACTAATGGGAAAATAACAGGAAACTGTAATCCTAATTGGGTACAACAGTAATCCTAAATGAGTACTAAATGGTATTGTTCTTAATATAATCTGCATCATGTATAATGTCGAGTCATCATGCATCACGTCGAGTCAAGTACGGTATAATATTCAAAAAATTACTGCCCTTAATACATTGTGTGATGGGCAATGTCAATTAATGAATAGTATATACACTGAATTTAGCATATTGTACCCAATCAATATAGCATTCTATGTTTATTGTTACAGTAATTTTTGTTATGAAGTGATTTGAGTAATTTTGTATTGTGTTCAGCTGTTTCATATAATCTGTGTTATGTATTTAATTTGTTTTTACTGTAATTAATGTATTATGTGTCTTAGATGTCCATTTGAATTTATTAAGTGCTAATGTCAGTGGCTGCGTAGATTGTAACAGACTCCTGATGCGGACCTTTATGTCACAGGGAAGTACAGGGTGCGGCAGCGTTCATAGCGTAATTTGACTTGCCTAGCACAGTGGCGTGCTGCATGAATGCGCGCCAGCTCGTTCCGCATTCGTGTACTAATGAGCTGCCATTTCGAGTGTGACAGTGATATGGATCGGTGGAGTGCACAACATCGTGCATTTGCTGTTGAAAGTTATTTCAAAAACAACTACTCTGTTATTGCTACCAGCGTCTATTTCGGCAACATTTCAACTTGGACGTTATGTGTAAGTTCCAGATGGACGGACCATTGCAACAGACATTTCCAGGTAGAGTAATTTCCCGTTTTGGTGACATTTCCTGGCTGCCTCGCTCACCTGATCTTTCATGTGCCGAATTTGGGGGCACCTGAAGCAAGAAGTTTTCCGAACACGTTGTGCCACCATTCCTGAGTTGAAGGATCGCATCCGAACTGCCGTCGGCAATGTCCCAGGGAATGCGTTACGCCGAGTTATGGCAAGCTTCCAACGCCGCCTAGATGAATGTGTTGTGCAGAGGGTGCATCATATTCAAAAAGTAATCCACGCAATGAACAATGACTTACATAAATGGCATACCTTTAACTATTAATTGACTAAGAGGTAATAAATAAATTACAGTTACTGCCTTATGGTGTGCTTTTAATATCCTACTATGAACGTTGCCTCACCCTATACTACTCTAGACAGTTGCGAGGTCCGGAAAACGCCCTATCAGTCTGTAAGCTGCCCAGATGTCCGGACCTGTTCTTACCTATTCACCTATTATTCGAGTTACGTTACGTTTAGTTGCATTGCTACAACATGGTTCCTTTATGGAACTGGAGAGCTGCCACTTCTGCTCTTTCTTCTCAAATTAATGGTCATGGAAAGAAGATTTTTTAATTTTTTTTTCAAATTATAAAATGACGTTGGATGTACTGTAACAGTCTGAAATCCGAGCAATCTGAAAACCAGTGTGCGCCATACTTCGAAACTTTTTTATTTTCAAAAATGTATGTAAAGAATGAGCATGAGAATCTAAAGATTTTGAGATTGAAATTAATACCGTGAAATATAACTCAAATATTCATTTTTTTTTTAAGTAGGATATTTTATTCTATATGATGATAATTTTAAAAACTTTTTCGATGATTGCAAAAATATACAGTGTTTTCAAGAATAATTGGTGATTCCAGTATACCATACAGCACATGCATATATGTACAATAACTCTAAGAACATGATCGATGACAGAATTTGTCCGAAATAAGCAATGTAGTCTATACTAAATTTGACTGCACTGTAATAGAGAGGCAAACTTCAAGTTTTTACATATTTCAAAGCTCAGTGTGTGCACACTTCTGATACGGTGAATATATATGCAATAAACCTTTTTGTCCTATCGCGAACACCACAACCATTTAACTTTCGCAGTGTATTGGTAAAACTTTTTCAGGGATTCAAATGTATAATAGAGAGCGGACAAAGGCAATACTTTTCACAAATCTCTTCAAGAAAAGTTCTATGGGATTAATAATCTGGAAATTGGTATGGCCATTCCTTTTAGCGCGTCAGCTCCTTGCTCTATGCATCCTAGCCACCGTCGTGCCAAATATTGATTTAGTTATTACTGCAAACGGTCTCTAAACTTTGCGACAAATTTTCCCTGAGACAGTATGCCAGTAGTCTCAATAATGGTTTCTGCGTTATAGAGTCTCTTATTGAGAGAGAATATCATAACTGTTTTCATTTAACTGTGGATTCAGCCAGTTTTCCAATATGTCCAAATAATTCGTTGCAGAGATGCAGAAATTTTGCCGTACCAGAAGAATGGACGCATTAAGTGTTCGAGAAATATATTTAAAGAAAACAACTTAATGAGATTATATCTATTCAGTGTAATAAAATTTGTTACTATTTATTCGATACATATTTTTAAAATGTTTTCGGCTTACAAAAAACACTGCATTATGGCTAGAAGTCAGATAGCACCGTTGGAAAACCAATTCTTCGGACTGAAAAATAGTGCTCTTCAATACCAAGCAAACGCATTTCTTTTTCTTGGGATATTAACGAACGCTTCCATAATTAAATCAACATTACTGCATCAGTGCAACTATGAAGTTTACTTTCTGGGTTCTTCCCGATGTCAACAGATGTTATCTGCACCCTCCGACTGTCATTGACAAAAACGCTGTGTCACAACGTTGCAAAAGTAGTAATTTTCTGCTCTTTATTCAGCACCGCCTTAACCAGCGATGTAAGCTCGGGTACGTGACTCTTATTGCAAATGAAAAAATGAAGTTTTAGGTTTAACATATCATTCGTCATTACTGTAGAATGTACTGTACAGACAGTATTTCAACATGCAACCATATTTCTGTTTCATCCTTTATGTGTAGGAAATGTGGTCTTTGAAATGTTAACTATTCTAGGCCTTACTGAAATTATTAGATTGGATTATTGTTATTAATATTTAACAGGATTTCGTATTATCGGAACACCAGGAAAGAGTATCGAAGGTATCTCATAAATCTAACCACCAAGTTATTAATGATTAGTCTGCACCACACTGGATAAATCTCTGTATAATGGTCAGTTGATCAAAATGCTATACCTACGCAGCATCTAGTATAATCTAGGCCCAGCAGAATCGCTGAACACTATTAATTCGACCTGGATTCAATAAAATTGCTGAACACTCGTAGTTCGGTCAGAGGTTGGAATCCCGGCGAATGAGCTGACTCATGGACTTTTTCGTGTTTTTTTCCACATGTGTAACGTTTGTGCGAGCCAGGTACCCTTAGAAAGCTCTCCAGGAAGGCATCCTTGCCCTTAAGCAGGTAGCTCTTGAGTGTCTTGCCATAATTCAATAAATCAAAGAAACCAATCGATGCGGATTCAAATCCCGGTGAACGGGGTGAATGCATGAAGGTTTTTGTGATTTTCCTCACGTATAACGTAAGTTTATACGTATAACGTAAGTTACACGTATAACGTTTCCTCACGTATACGTAAATACGAGCCAATTTGCCTTAAAAAGTCCTTCACGAAGGCACTCCTTAGCCCTCGTATGCTTTGCCGTAGTTTAACAATCTAATCCAATGGGTGTAACTTTGACATTCTAATAACGCAAAACGTCAACCTTTTTCAGTATGCAATATGTAAAGTAATTATCAAAATGTATTGCTTAATTGTGAATAGACGAAAACTGTTATTTTAAACATTTCAGTATCTCAATTATAAAATAATACTAATTATATTTCACTCTTAAACTGAGATGCAGTTTTCTTCATGCATGAACTATAAGTAACGTAGGTACTTACGTATTAACGCAACCAGGCCGAAATTCGCATAAATCGCCAAATTTGGCGACCCTACTTACGGCAACCCTACGTGTTATACGTAGTTTTTCATAAAGAAATTATTTTTCTTACTGGTTAGATTGAATGCTCTGAAATACTTTAACTATGGGTATTTGGGATCTGCCTGCGAGTGAGAAAGATGCTGTTGAATTGTTGCAGGGTTATGGAATTATACCGAACGAACGTTACTTGTAAAAATTCTCATAAAATGAAACTGTATTTTGGAAAGCAAAATTTTCTGGAAATGTAACGTCGAAGAGTGCAATCAAACATTTGCATGTGAGAACCTGAAATTGGTTTGAAGGTAGCCGAATTTCATTTGTGACAGCGGTGCGCTTCCTTTATTGTTGGTGTAAAGAGTTAACCTCAATTAAATTTGGCGCAACAAAAAACAGAGAGGACCAGCCCGTCATCATCTTCACTCATACCTTATCGAATTTATATGGCGCTAAGCTCAAGCTGTTAATGGCGAAGACGGTTTTCAATCAGTGCTAAAAGCAATAGCCAAAAGATTTCCGCCGAAAAAATAATTCTGCAACTTATTCAAATTCGAAACCGGAAGGGTTTAATTGCTATTTTAATATTTTAAAACAAAAATAATATAAAAAACTGTATTAAAAAATTATCTGTAATTAATAAATGTACATTTTCTTTCTATTCATACTTTTTTACTCAAACTTACAAATCGCGCCAACCTGGTTGCGATAATACGTAAGTACCGTAACGTAAAATATCATGTTATTTATTTTCATTTTTATCTTATTTTCTAATGAATATAAGTGAGTAGTAGCATACGCGCACAACATAATGCGATTTATAGCAAAATATATCTAACATTCATCCTTCATGAAGAGAATGCCCACCAGCGGCGGTAAAGTCGCTGAACACTAGTGGTTCGGTCTGAGGTTCGAATCCCGCGAACGGGCTGGCTGCATGGGCGTTTTCGTGATTTTCCCCATGTGTAACGTGTATACGAGCCAGTTTCCCTTAGAAAGTCCTCCACGAAGGCATCCCTCCCGTTAGGCAGATAGCCCTCGAAGCTTTGCCATAATCACACACACACACACACACCTTCATGAAGAAATAATCACTTGAGTGTTAGTAAAGTCAACATCGTTAATTTTTTAGTGAAAAAGAGCTGCGCAGCATGCATGCATTTCTACTTCATTTTCTGTAATTAAAAATTCTGATCCGTACCTCTGTGTACAAAAAATTTATTTTCAATATGTTTTGATTTCAAAACAAATGTATTTTAAAATTATCATTTTTCCCCCCCAGTGTATACTCAGTTTGGCATATTTGTCTACAACAGAAGTGTACGTCCTCATAAATTACACTGCCTTCGTAGAAGCCTTGTTTGTGACCTTATCTGTAGCCGGAATGGTTTGGCTGCGGTATACGAAACCGGACCTTGAAAGACCAATAAAAGTGAGTAAATATGTCATTGCTAATAAACGATAAACAACTCGCATAATATTGTTTAATAGTTTGGGTAATCATAAATCTTTGCACTTTGGAATCAACTTTAATAGGACCGGGTATGTTCGTAAATAACCTAATTAACAAAAGATAATTTCAATAAGTGTTTGCAATTCCGATTTTAACTGCAATCTTCTATTCAAACTATTTTTTTTTATTTTATTTATACGCTGGAAAATTTTCATTTTAAGTGTTCAAAATCGAAATCATTCTGATCCTGAATAATGCTGCCGAGTAAATTTGTGAAAATACGATTAGCAGCTTTAAAATGTCAATCATTTTCACGCTCTGCATGATGTTTTCATTGATTTTATTGAACTCGTAAAGGTTTTGTGTATTCAAATTAAAAGAAAAATATTAAGACTATAAAGAAGAAAAATTGGCAATATTGGAAACATGCGAATTGTCGTATAAGTGGTGTTCAATCTGAAACACAAATTACGAAAGCAATCCACTCCTCATTTAGATTTTATCCCCATCATCCGAGCACAGAAGTTAATAAGATTATTAACAGTTCTGGCGTAAACTACGTTTTGCCTGATAATTGTTGGTAGCTTCCACCGTCCATGCTTCCACCAACGTAACGTTCAAAAGGCCTTAGCCTAGATCACTCTGATGATGAAAAGAATTTGGTTAGAAAATTTCTGGCGAGGAAAAATTCAAAACCTGCTGAAACTTACCCTTGATCCTCATGTGCAGAGGGTTTTTACACATTTTTAGAATGATTTCGGAGCCGTTTTATTAATGTTTAAAAGGCAAAGAGTATTTTTCTAAATGTTTGATCTGATAGCCTTTTTTCTAGACTTCTTCCACTATTTTTCAGAGTTTATCAATCTTACTGGGTTTGCGCTTGAAAGAACTCAAGTGACCAAAGGTACAATAATTCATAGGTGAGATGGCACGGACTTCGCAGGAATGCGTTGAGAAACTATAACTTCAGTATGCCGTTTTTATGGCATGAAATGGTACTTTTCATATGACTTGCGCTGCTTTCTTTTAATGAAGTTTCACTCTTTGAACGTCATAGGAAGAAAGAAATGGAATTTCTTATGTATATATATTGGACGTAAAACTTTCTCTTGATTAATACGTTGAGTTGCTTTTAACACTTTTCCCTCTCTTATTTTTAATTTCCCATTATAAAGAAAATCCTGCGACAATCATAAACCCCTGTCGGGAACTTTCTTTGAATTGATGGAACAAGGTATGGTCAATGTTTTCTTCTTTTTCCATAATAAATAGACCAATTTTTGTTGCAGTCACTTAAGTAAACTCATGCTTCATCAAGGGTCACAATGTATTTTCATTTATCTACTGCTTAAATAGCTTTCATACGAAGTTCTACAAACTGTTCTGCTTTGAGCCCCATGCCTCGGCTAAAGCTGGTGAACATTATGTTTTTTAGCTTTTCTAAGTTGTAAACCTTGGTTTATTATTTTATTAGCCCAAATGTGTATTACTGTAGAAACGGGATTTTGCCTTGAATCGCTATAAAAAGCTGTACAACTTTTAACTTGTTGCCGCCGGATATTATCACTGTATTATTTTGAAGAAATTAAGTAATGAAAAATGTGCAAGTATGTATGGTTCTCGCACTATGAGAAAAAGCCATCAAATTTTGAATAGTCATCTTCCCTAACATGTGCAACTGGAAGCCCGAATTTCGAATTTTATGTTTTGTATTTTGTTAAACTTTAATGAATTTATCAGCAAACTCAACATCCGAAAGCGAGTAGTGCCAACACTGTTCGAAATAAAATATTTTTATATTCAGCGCGCGTCTATCGGAAATTCTAAAGATTAAATATTTTGTGATTTTGCTGAAGAATTTAGATTTTTCTGGAGAAGAACGTGATACTTAATTAGTAAATTTAACACACAAAACGTGGTAAAAATAAGTTTTGCAAGCCATCTTACTAAGGAAACAAAATATTCATATGATGAAGTGATAAGACTGAAAAAAAAATAGTAAAATATATGCAAACGCTTAACGCTGCATCGGAAATTCTAAACATATGCTGCTATCCTGCTTTTAAAAGTTTTGTAATTTTGCTATTGAATTGCATATGGCATAAGCTCGACGAAAATGGTACTTAATAATAAAGCTAAAAAGACTAAAAAAAAAAAAAAAAAAAAAGAGAGGAGTTGGCAGGTGTGAGTTCAACAGCAGATTGGTGGATTGCGAGCTTATAGCGAGAGGGTCAAGAAACCTTAATAAATCCTTTAGGATGAAAGCTAAAGTCAGACTTTAATTTTTTTGTTGCACTCGATTTATTTAAAGACATTGCAATGTATTTCTGCGTGGACAGATTTTCTCTTGTTACCAACGATTTAACTTTGAAAACATTAGAAACAATACATACCTTCTTCGGGTATTCGTTTAGAGACCTTAGACTTGTAGAGGTAATATTTGAAGATTTTTCCCTTTCTGATTAATAATGTTGCTTATTTTTTACTTAACATTTTTAATACCATGCATTCACAATGTTTTTGAATCATGGATAGAAATATTTCTCTTCGGAAGGGCAAAACATATTCTTCAACCTACGACTAGTTTACGTGAGATATTTTGAAAGAAGAATAAAAGTAGCTGATGATTTTCCTCATTTTAAATAAGCTATTTACAGCAACTGTTATTCCAAAACATATGTTGTTTTATAATTTCTTATCGAAATCGTTCTAAAAATGAGTAAACGTTCTCTGTTCTTCTACCGAATTGAAATCTTGCAGATATTAAGGGTTCATTGCAATAGCAACAAAGCGTCAGAAAGCTCATTTACCAGTAACACGTAGTTTTGTTATGAACTACAATCATAGAAGACCATGCAGCCACTCATTCAGGAAATGAATACATATACGGTAATCGAAATCCTTCTGAAAATGTGTAAGCATCCTTTTGAATATTTAGAAAATAGACTGTACCATGTTCGTTGGTATCTTCAATGCCGTAAATTTTATTGAAAATCGTAATTCTTCAAAATTACAATTAATTTTGTTAATGACGGTAGAAAAAGTTATTTATTTCGTATGCATGTTAATGTAGTATTAATTAGGAAAGCACAGGATTTTGTTCGATTAGGAATAAGGACTTGTACCTAGGAACCCTAGTACTATACCACTCTTCTCACGAGAAAGCGAAGCGCATTTGCACAAAGAAATTTGGAGTTTCTTTCATCAAAAAGATTTCTGTTGAGCTCCAACCGTTTTATTTGCCTGATTTCTCACCCTCTGACTCCACCATCTTTTTTTTAATCAAGGCAGTTCAACGTTTTTCAGATCATTCAAGTTATCCAAAGGACTCGGTGCTGAAACAAAGAATGAACAACACATATTCTTTGGCTGATATACTAAAAGGAGCATTCTACCAATTCCTTTGTATGTTAGGAGCGAGTGTGGTGGATTTTACTATAAAAAAAAGTAGCGTCTAGCCCTAGCATGGTTTATGCTTCACGTATGTGCAATGATAAGCTTCGTTGGCGTTATTGGCTGGCGTCCGTTATACAAAATTGGCGTTGTATCATGAGATTGGCAACTAAAGAAATGTTATTCCACTAATTTTTGTCACGTTGTAGAAGTTAAGCCTGAATAAGCGTTGAAGAAGTTAAGCTGTTACTGATTTCTTATATTTAGCATGATTAGTATGAAAGGTAATTTTGTATGTTTGGGGTGTTCGAAGACCAATTTCTGATTGCCTTTTGGATTACCACTAAAGGTAAGATAATGTAATAAAGAATACGAAAAAAAGGATCAAAGTATATTATATTGTTGAACGCCTGTTTTATATTAATTGATTATGTTAAGCTGTCAAGAATGATTTGCCTAGGATGAGACATGCCTTTGTGGAAAGCATGAATTTGAAAAGAAAGTTTACGATAACAGTAAATATAAGATGAAATATCAAACAAAAGTACATTTGGAAATAAATGTAAAATACGGTTAAGTTAATTGACTGTTGCACGTTACAAAAACCTACAGCATTAAATTAAGCAGTTCATAAACATCAACACGAGTGAAAAAAGAATAAAGTCTACTTCCCCACACGCTTTTTCAAGTCCCCGGTCAATAAATTCTCGCCTATTTGGGCACAAAGCTCACCCCATACGCTTTTTTTATGTCCCCATTAAATAATTGCTCACATAATTGGGCACAAGGTGAACAAATTTCGCACATTCGCGCAGCACTTTACTTACGCATCGCTGAAGTCTGAATTGTGAATTCATCGCCAAGCCAAACATACATACTAGATGTTCTTTGGCCAAGTGTCAAAGGTCAGCATAAACCATGCTACAGTAAGACGCTACTGATTTTACTTGAAGGTAACTGAATAGCAATTGTTTGCCTTGCAAACAGAGCTACCCGAGAAGATTTTACGGTAACTGTTTTATTACAGAAATATCTACCTAGACAGACACTCTTACCTTCTTTTGCTTTGTTCTTCCTTTCGCTACGTCCCTATTGTTGAAATGGTTGCGTAGACAATAATCTGGCTGTATGAAGTCACTAATTCTAAGTGAAATTCTAAGTAATTCGAAATACTAAACTGTTAAGTTGCAGTTCATTTCATAATTTGTGATGGTGGAAAAAAACAACCAACTGGAGAATAAAGCTGCAAATTTTAAGAAAAAAAATCGGTGATATAAGAACTCATGCAGGGTAAATAATCATTCCCATTATTTCTCAGTTCTTTCATAGTGTGTTGCACATAATCATGCAGTGTTCACGTTATTGTAATATGTAAATGAAACTTTTTTAACAGCTGAAGAAATATTTTTACTTCATCCGTTTCTCGAAATATCTTAAAATTTTGTGACCTTCAACTGCAATTATTTTGAGTCGCGCTGTGTCCTGATCTAAACACTTTTAGTTCCGGCTTTTGATTAAAAGCATATCACATTTTATCTGTATGGATAAAAATATTACATCCGAAATAATCAAGGATGATAAGATCCTGGGATAATAAGATGTTGCAAGTAAAACTCAGTTTTTTTTTTTTTTTTTTTTTTTTTTTTTTTTATCCTGAAAAGACACGTGAGATATAATTTGCTTCCTTCACAACATTTTATTAGGACTGAAAATTATCTAAAATCGATTAGAAACCTTTACTTAAAATATCATTGATGTGGACACCACATGTCTTTCTTGCACGAACCTAATCATGCACATTTTTTGCTTCACTTCATTTTAACTTAGTCCCTCTAATTCCATTACAGCTGTATTTCTCATTCAATCAATTCAGTTCTCACTTTGCGGTAATGCAAAAATGCATAAAAAGTCGATCTTCATTAAAAATTGTAAACTACAGAAAAATCTAAAATAACAAATACAGCTAAAAGTAGTTAAAAAAAAATTTTTTTTACATTTAAAATTATAGTTTCTTTGTAAAAACAAGCAATTCGGGCAGCGGGCAGGAAGACAAAATTTTCTGTGCACAAAACTGAAAGTTAACTTTTGGTCACACTATGCAAAAAGACACTGAGGTTGATGGAACCACCGACTTAATTCAAGGAGGTTGGAATAGAAAGAGGGAGGGTTCGCAGTTTCCTCCACTATCGGGAAATGAATCCCAGTCTGTGTCTAGCATAAGAAAAGCTCTCGCCAGTTAGTCTACAGCTGTCTGTTTCCATAGAAACGAGAATTGACCCATTTTCCGTAGGAGAGCCTTAAAGATTTACTTTTCAGTTTGCCATCTTGCGCATTCAAATTTAATTGGCAAACCCTGATTCGTCCCTATTTGAAATATACTAGCCCTGTTGCTCTAGCGACCAGCGCCCGCCGGACACTGCGGCGGGAGCAGTTCTCGTAGACAGACACTAACAAGTGGCGCTCCTGTTTGTTCTGTCAATACTTTGCATAACGGCAGTAAAAAGTACGTGTTTTTAAGCTGTTCCGTGCATGCATTTTCCAGTAGAAATATGTTAAATTTATATTTAAATGCTTCGCTATTGTTAAATTTTTGTTTTAAAGTAATAAAAATGATATCCATATACTGTGTCCAGAAAATTATTAAGAAATAGTACGAAATCTAAATGCATGTGTATAACATTAAAGCCTTTAAAAATGATGTTTCTGCATATTTCAAGGAGAAGGGGTTTTGTTTGCAATTTTATGATTGGTTATTAAAAGTTGATAAAATTAATTTTAAATAAATGATCAATCAAGAGTGGTAAACTATCCAAACGGAAGGCACAGATTAAAAATACTTTGAAGCAAAAACTTGTAAAACAACACAGAAATAAAATTAATGCAGAAATAAAACGATAATAAATATTAGATAATAATGTATAATTCTTTAATCTTTGTCAAGGTGCAGCCAGAAGAATTGTAAGTAGAACAAAGTTTCTAAATAAATTGCAAAAGGAAATAATCAGATGAAAATTTTTAAATATAAAATATAAATAATGAAATGAGAATATATTTATGCAGAACTTCAAGGAAAATGTTTAAGAACTTTTTAAAGCAGTTCAGATATAACTTATTTCGTCGCGACTCGTATGAAAGCATTTTACGAACTCGTATGAAAATATGAACGTAAATATGGTACATTTAGGTATGTAATTACAAAAATAATTTAACATTATAGGAGAAAGCCAAGAAGTCAAAATTAATAAGGAAGACGGAATAATTTATTTAAAAAAAGTCTGATATGTACACCACATCACTTCCCTGTACAGAATATTAAATTATACGCATTTTTTACTGAATTTCCTTTTAAACTTATTTCCTCGAATTTCATTAGAGATATGCGAATATTTCTCATTCAATTAATTCAGTTTTCACTTCGTGGCAAGGCAAAAATACATAAAACCTCAAAATATCTTTATTAAAAATGGAAAAATATAAAACACCAAATGCAGTTAAATCAATAAAAAAATTTTTTTTAATTAAAATTAGTTTCTACTCAAAACCAATTCGGCCAACTGACAAAAAGGCAGATTTTTTTGATGCACAAAACTGAAAGTTTACTTTTGGTCCCATTTGGCAAAAAGACGCTGAAGGTCTAGAAACTGACTTTAGTTTGCCAAGTTTCAAATGTAAACAAATATGGCTGCTATGGTTAGCTGCACTTAAACAAGTTTTAAATTGTTGATAATTCTACAGCTATTGCATGCAGATTAACTAAATGCATAAAAAAACTTAACCGGAAGAAAAGAACAACATAATTCAATCATTTTTAAAGCAAAAACTGCCTAATTTACCAACATGTAAGAATAAAAAAACAGCTCACGGAGCCGAGTAACAGAGGGGCTATATATATAATGAAACTGAGGTTCGATGACACGAGATGAAATATTTGATTATGGATGCGGCACAAACTTGCATGAAAATTTTCGGTGAAACAGGACTTTTCCCATAATTCACTGTGAACATAGAATAACAAACCCGTGCAGATTTCTTCTTAATTAGAACTGGCCGAAGAATGTATTGACAAAACAATTTTGGAGGCATTGAAATACGAACGCTGAGACGTAGATGCGTAGAAATACTAATTGCGTAGATACTTGATGCTTAGAGCGTCCATCCATTTTGAAGAAGCAGCAGTAGTCAAGCCGGATTAAATTTCCCCCATTTTTAGTCCAAAGGGGCCTTGTCCCTGAAGGACTGTTGTTTTCGTTTTGCGATTTTGCGTCGGACTCGTAAACGTCGGTTCACTTTTCAAACTGTTGCCACAAAATGTTAGAGTCCTGCATTATATTTGAAGAAATTAAATAATGAAAAATCTGCATAAATGATTGTTTATTTCTCGCATTGTGATAAAACAATGGTACATAGAGCCATCGAATTGAATGACGAAATCCTACTGCGAATATGGGCATCTGAAATCCCAAATTTGGAATTTGTTTTATTATAGATTTTATATTTTGTAAAACTTAACGAATTTTGATTTACAAACTCAATGCTTTAAAAGCGAGAAATGGCAACGTTATATAGAAAAAAAATACTTTTATCTCCAGCTCGCGAGACTGTGGTATATCGGAAATTCTAAAGATGCTTTAATTTAACATTATTTTGCATATTGCTCTTGAACTGAATTTATGGTTTAAGTGCAAAGAACATATTTAATAATAAAGGTAACCTCAAAACGTTAAAAAAAGCCCCTTGACGTAATTTAAATCTGAAACATTTCAGGTTTTTTTTTTTAATTATTATTATTATTATTATTTATTTATTTAAATTCTCACTTTGTGGCCACAATTCACTTTGCACTCTATCGACCTATTAAGAACATTTACAATTTTGATATAGTTGCTAGAAGCGAATATTCAGCACGCACATGTTGCAGAAAGACGTCTGGCAAGAGGAAAGCACAAGCAAAATGACGCGTCTTCATAGAAAGAAGGGAGGGAGTCAAAAGTTTCAGTTTTTAGTTTTGGTTTACAATTTGGTGATTAGTCAAGAGGCATCTGTATAAGGGTTACGTAAGATCGCATGATTAATTTGAATGACGCAGTTTAGACTTACAGCGCTATTTGGCCCACCAGTGCCCGAGCGGTAAAATCACTGAACACTGGTAGTTCGGTCCGAAGTCCGAATCTCGCGAACGGGCTAGCTGCATGGATGTTTTCGTGGTTTTTCCCATATGTAACGTGTAACTTTACTTCGCACAAGAAAGTCAAAATAGCGACTTGGAATACCAAAGCGGTTGAAGTGTGTTATTAGAAAAGTAGAAAAAATAAAAATTACTGCCTTTGTCGATACGGAACTAATGAAAGGTTAGGTTATTTAATAATGGCAAAGCCTCGATGGCTATCTGCCTAAGGGGAGGGATGCCTTTGTGGAGGTTTTTCTAAAGGAAACTGTTTCGTATACACGTTACACATGGGAAAAACCATGAAAACATCCATGCAGTTAATGCGGGGGAACTAATGAAAGAAAAACTGGAATTCTATTCAGTTCTTATGAAATTTAAATGGTGAATTGCTTTTGCTATCAAAGTGCAACTCTGCGCTTATGCATTATTTAATTTTAAAAAGTAATACGGAGAATTAAAATTACTTCATGTCAAAATTACTATATATGTTGATCTGAATTATATACGTTAGCTTTCATTCTTGTGTAAATACTTCATATTTGAACATATTTGGCTTAGTTTAGAATTGTTAATAGTTTTCAAAATATTGCTTCATTCTAAAACTAAACTATATGTTTATAAATTTAATTCATTCGCCATTTTATGTATTAGCGACCATTGTGGCTGAAATATTCATGAAAAAGATGATAATGAGTTTCCTAATTCTATGAGATATTATAGATAATGAATACGTAAAAGAGTGATTGATGATTAGTGATGACTTTACATACAGTAATGCTATGAAAGTACCGTGTTGGAATGGCTTAATTTCAGTGTAAAAACTGTAATGATTCTCGTATTATAATTTATAGTAAATATTTTTTTATAAAGTTCTTTAAACAGTTATTCCTTCTTCGCAGGTAAATATCTTTCTACCGATAACATTCCTTGTCGTTTGTGCTTTTTTGGTCACATTCCCATTCTATGTGAGTCCTTGGGAAACGGGAATGGGTATTGCCATCACTCTGACGGGTATTCCAGTGTATCTGGTGACCATTTACTGGCAAGACAAACCTCGCTTCTACAAAACAGCGATAGGTAAGTGAAATCCATAAATCTTTTGTTTCATAGAAAAGTACCTTTTCAGTCAGTCAGTTTTTGTTTGTCATCACTCGAAAAAATAAATATGCATTTTATTTTTAGGTTTTTGTTGGCGTGATCACACGAAACGTCAAAAAATTCATTTTTAATTTTTCTCGGAATTTTTTATTCTTCTCTTTGAATCTACTGTATAATATTTACGAGAACATTATTTAAACTTAAGTCCATATAAGCGAGGGCCATCCATTATTTTCGCTGAATTTTGTAAAGTTGTTGCATTTCCTGGTACTTTTTTCATGTTTTTGCCAGTGCAAAACATCAAACATATGAGGCAAAATATCAAACAGTACAGGAACATGAGAAGACATTTTTCTTGTTCTCTTCACAAGAGTGTTCCTTTATTATAAACTCAAATTAGGTATATAGCATTAGATGTGCTTATAAAATAAGCTTTAGGGTCTTCCAGACGGGAAAGTGATTAGTGACTCTGACTGCCGTACCTAAGGGCCCGGATTCAAAACCCGGGAAAGTATGAATGTAATTTGTCCATCCCTTCATAGGAGGCGACGGTGGCTCACTATTACATGCCTCCATAATAAAGTGAGCACAGCTTCCTGCCTTAGTAGTGGTCAATGCCTATAAACAGCTACAGCTCGCCATTGGAGCAAATAATAATAATAATAACCTTTTAATTTATCGTTAATTGTAATACTTGGTGTACGAAATTTCGGGTAATCGGTAATTGCAAACTGTGTGTTCGACACAATAACCCATTTTTTTCTCCTCGAGCCAATTGTACCAAAAAAAATTTACTTTTGTTGATCTGTAATCATTTACCAGTCACCAAATGCTTAAAAAATAATAAATCTCATAATAATTAAAATTTTGTTGCTCTTTATTTCCAGGTAAAGTGACAGAAATAGTTCAGAAACTTTTGTTGAGCGTGCCAGAAGAAAAATATGACTAAGAAGTTTGAAAACAAACGAGGATCATCTAGTCAGAAAACAAAAGCTTCAGGGTTAAGTGAACTATACCTTAACTTGTGTGACTAGAAACTTTCAAGAATGAAACTGGGGTAGTGAAGCAAAAATACTTCGAATCAACATTTATGCATCTGGCGTCTAAAAGTGTTTGGTTGAAACGCAGTCTGTGCGAAAAGTTGTGCAGCTGAAAGTGATTATTTATGGATAAGATAAAATAACTCTCGTACGACTCTTGTTTTTATACTCTATCTTCCCTTGAAGACAGATTCATCATTGCTCATGAATTGTATAGTTAAAAAATCGAAAATATTTTGTATACTATTGTATATTGTCTTATCTTTTGTACTTCCATACAAAATATCAATCTGTATATACTGCAGTTTGCTCTGTGCATGGAGATCATCGATTTATATTTGAATCCAAGTCCCTTGAGCTAACTTGCAACTTAAGCGAATTATTTAAACGATCAAAAAAGAATTATTACAGTGACTATTTACTATTTAGGTATTTACAGAAAAGGGCGTTGTTTCAGTCAATGACACGAATTATTTTTGAATTTTATATGAAATATATATTACGAATTTTCGAGTTCAAACTTATAGTAGATAGATGTTTTGATCATTTATTTTCTATATTTTTGTTATAAAATGACTAATAAATTTTGAGCAAACTTATTGCTTTCTTTTATTTTTTTATTTTCTTCTAGTGTAGAATATTCTAGAGTTTTGAAAGCGTTTAAAAATAATGTGAAAATTCTTTTCGACGGTAGATCGGAACTTTGTCTACCTTTTCAACCTCATGTGATAGATTTGCCGACAAATAGAAATTTAGCTTGGAAGCAGCATAAAAGAATTAGATATGATGCACAATTAGATGCATTAGAAGAATATACTGCGCGTTTCCGATAATGAGAAAAATTTAATATATTTCAATAGGTAACAGAATATTGACACAGGACATTTTTTGCATCGGCGGCCAGTCATTAAGAAGGACAGTACCGCTGCAAAAGTTAGACCAGTCTTTGAAGCGGCAGCAGAAGGAAGTGGTAACGACCTTTTGTTTATGGGCCAGAACAATAAGCTTTATTTACATCTGTATCTGACATCGTTCTTTCATTCTTACCCTTCATTATATTTTCTCCTTGAATATACAACCAAGACAACAGATTTTGAAAATGCAAACATTGCCAAAAAAAGAAATTATTTATTGGGAAGCAAAGTTATTTGGAGATGCAATGTAAAAGCAGCCTCATGCCGATAGCTAGTTTCGTGGTTTCAGTATTCCTTTTATTATCTCTTTCCACTTCATATGAAGTTCTTTTTTCCATCACATGTTAAGTAGCAAAATATGGTTGAAAAACAGCGATTGATTGGAACAGCGCTATGAGAGAAGTCTGTTGCTTGTTTTTGATTAAACGTTTGAAAGCTGAAACTGGTACACCTGAAAAATTGTCAACATTGACAATGACGAAAGTCTATTCGTCAAGCAAAAGGCCAATATAATCTGAATTGTGCCGAAACGGAGTTTGAGGAAAAACCCGCAGAGAAATAAATGCGCGTTTCCTTATGAAAATGCCGAACACAAACGTCAAAGATGGTGTGTAATGGAAATGATATAAATCTAATAAAGAATAGCTAATAAAATAATAATGAAAACTTTAACGGACAACATGTACATGGAGGTAGTACAATATGTTCATATTTTATGGTGGACTTATCGGGACGAAGTATTAGAAAAGGCCTGTTTTTTACACATTTAACAATGAATTATAAATACAACTTTACAGACCCTACACCTGGCGGAAATATACAGAATGCCAGTTGTTGAAACAAAAGACAAAGAGAAATGGCTTATCAACACTTGGATTTTTATTAGGAAAAATTTATGCGACGGCATTACATAGAACGAAAGAAGATATTTGACTCTGTAACAGAAGCAATATCCAGGTTATGGCCTCCACAAAGATAAATAAATGTTCCCTCAGCACATTATGATATTCCTTTTTTGAATGTTGCCATGGTATTATCTGCTTTCTGCCAAATTAAATTCAAATATCTAATTTCTCAAAACCTACGCAATGGCCGCTTTAACAAGAAATACCTAATATTATTTTGCTTTATTCGTGTTGTGTTTCATTGCTATTAGATTTTTCGTCTTAATTTTTGTCTTTCGTATGAAAAATGTGTATTAATTTCCTTTGTGGTAAAAACTCGCAATACACTGCTTAAACAACGGCGTTTATTATCTGTTTAAATGAAAGGTTTTAAACTGGTGATATAACAGTGTATGCTCGCATTTTATGTTACGTTTAATTTATTATTTGCAACTTCAATAGTTTAAAAGATTTTAAGCATTCCTATTAATAAAAATAAGGTAATATATTTTTAAATCTGAATTCACATCCACTTCAGTTCTCTCATTTTCATAATTAACGCTACACAATGTCACATTTCTTTGTCACATACTCTTAAGCAGACAAGCTTTATTTTGAGAAAAAAAAGAAAAACAGGTTCTTTTTTACAACAAAGGAACATAATACACAGCTTTCATTTCCCTTAATCTTTTCTTAAATAAATTCTTAAATGACGTTATATTCTTTTTACACTTATTACTTATTCCATCCATGAGTCTTGTAAAAATCTAATTTCTGGCAGTTAAAAACAAATTAAGGACTACCGATCTGAAATAATACATAGATTATAATCACAGTAACACTATGCATCAAAAAATAATAAATGAAACTTCATACAGCCTTCATATTTTGCAGAATACTCTGCGGAGACCTTGCTGAGGAATATTTGCATTAACGTGCCGGTATTGGATTGATTCTGCTGGAAATTGCTACATATATTCCGCCAGATACGAATCAAGTTGTCGTGTTTTCAGCTAAGTTACGCTGAGACCTCTAGAAATCTGTGTAGATTTTCGTATGTAAAACAGAAACTTCCTTTGTAATTTTTTTTCATTAATTTACAAACGTCATTATAAGCTTTTATTTAGTTTTCTTATGGTGTTTCACGGTGAGTTAAAATTTTAACCTACTTCCCTGATAAGCTATTGAGTTCAAATTTCTACACATACTGACAATGCGATAGGTTGAACTTTTTTTTTTTTTTTTTTTTTTTTTTTTTTTTTTTCAAATTTCAACTTGTATATTTGCATGCAATGTTTAAACAATTTTTCGCATATATCTCCATTTAACGGACAAACTAAGCATATTAGAATTTTACCATTTGCACCATCGAATACAGCGGAAAAAATCTTTAAAATGAAACCTGTGTGGTCAATTATAACTTAATTTCAGAATGTTTTGGCGAATTTTTGAAAAATCGCTGAATCTGTTAAACTATTTCACTTTTGTGATTTTAAATTGCAGCTCTAAAAAGTATCGGATCTAAAAGGTATGACCTAAAATTTTAAAATAAACTTTTCGCTCTCAATAACAGAGTTCTAAAAAGAATATTAAGTAAGCGATTCTACAATTTTTTAAAAAAATATGTGAAGTCTGAAGCAGAGGTGAAAAAAGTGTTTCTGTCGAATTTTCCTCGAATTTGCCCTCCGGCGATGACGCTTGTTTTTTTTTTTTTTTTTTTCCATTTTGGTCTTCAATAAAATTGCTTATTGTAATTTTTCTTATGCGAGTTTCTAAATGATATTCAATATTCAAGCGATTTTTCATCCGGGAATGCTTCTATTATTCTTGTTTCACACTTTTCTTATATTTATTACGTGTTTAATACGACTGGAAATTCCTCATGATAACATATATTAAGACTAAACAAAAAGATAGTTTATCATATTGCTAATGAGAATAAGAAATAATAATTCTATTACAGGATTCACCCACAATTATAGACGATAATAAAAAGCGTGAGTGCTTAATAGAATCTATTAATTTAGGGGCATTGTCGAATGTATAGCATAACTTTTTTGAATTTTTTCTATCGCAAATCTTATTTTTCGTGATGTAAATAGCTATGAATTCATTAAATATAATTTTTAATTCTGATTCAATTAAACTGTGGATATATTATTTTTTTCTTTTTAGCAGTATTATCTATCATTTTAAATAAAGATATTATGCAAACCTTTTTTAAAGCATTTATTTCAGGTATGTTATTTTTCAATGCATAAGAGCATCTTATTATTTAACAATTAAATAAGCAGAATGAAATCGAGATCTGCTTATTCCTTTTTTCTTCTTTTTCTTTCTATCTATGCAGTAACTGGTAATCTTTCTCAAGAACTGTCAATTTTTTTTATATCGTTGAAAAGATTGAGTACTACAGTAACAGGGAAAAAAAAAAAAAAAAAAAAAACTTTACGTGGTAATTACTTCCAGAAATATTATATGGGCATTCTCTTACTGAATGCGACTCGCTTGTGATCACTTCACGCTGCGTGATTACAAGGTCATTAGGACTGACAGACTTCGTGATTGGCCTCAAACCGCATCGAATTATCTGAGTACTCAGTACCAAAGAATCTATAGTGAGCATATCCCCTAGAGTTTCTTTGTCAGTACTGTCTCCCCTTTACATAGAGCATGGAGGTTCCATGACATAGAGGCCACAACTGCACTTCCGTGGAGTACCACTAATGATATGTAACTTTTTATAAAGGCATACAGACCATCGAATCATGTTATTATGAACAATGCGTTCAAGAATCTCATCCCTACATTAATTGATCAAGACTTAAAAGATGAATTTGAGCTCTGAGCGGACTAAATATTGTGAGACTCTCGGACTCTACCAAAATCATTCAAAACACCTCAGTGGAGGTATATTCTCATCACAAAAGATACACCATACCTGAAAGAGACAGAATTGTCTCTTCCAAGTGACTGACTTTTACCCTGTTATCTTCGACTTGTATGGAACTTAACCGTGTATTTCCATAAACAGAAAAACGATTAACTGGAATCATTTCTGTGAAAATTTAGAAAACAACATCTATAACACTCCGCTTCATAAATATCTGACACTGAGAGTGCTATCGTGAATTTAAACAAAAAAAATCAAGCGAATGTCAATTATTCCTCTATGAAATTTTTACAAATTAATTCAAATGCACTTCTGTGTATTATTCTAGAACAGAAATTAAAATCGAAAACAGAGTTCGCAAATTATGGTGTCCTACCAGAGACTCTGACACTAAGACAAGACTAAACCACTTAATTAAAATACTCTACATATCTAACAACTCAGAAACGCTTTACGATAGCATGACAATGGGAATAAGGGAATCTAGTTTCCTCACTTTTATCACAGAGATCTAATCATAATAGTTCATCTTCTTCTTTTTGAAGCTTGGCTTCCCTTTGGCGCCTTATGCTCCAACTTAAATAATGGTCCATTGCATTACAGTAACCGGACCAGCGGCGTAGCGAGGGTGGGGCAAAGGGGGACAACTGGCCCCGGGCGCAGCGTCCGGGGGCAGCAAATGGATGCTACAAAATTTTAGAATGAAATATTTTCCATTCTTAGCGCATAAAAGGGGGCGCAAAATCTTCAGTTGCCCCCGGGCTCTGGAAACTCTAGCTACTGCTCTGAACCGGACTGCTATTCGCCCCTATGCAGCATTCAGCTTGAAAGCGAAACTTATAGTAACATCTCTCAAATCGTGCACTGCAACGTTAACAACAGTCTTCAATTTACTATCCCTTATGAGG